TATATTATCCCACAAAACTAACTCTTGAGGGTTATTAAATATCTTGAAAATGCCACAATATGTTCAAGAATAAAACCACAGGGGATGAAAATAGACTAAGTGGATGAAAACAGCATCACGTGGTTGCCACTTATGATGATTAGACACATAGAAACATTTGGGTGAGAAAGAAGCTGGAATGACATGGTTTTCAAACAAAGAGCACAGAGGAAACAGCATCCACTCTCCCAGACGGGAGAGTCAAGGAAAGCTTCTCTTGGACTGACAAAAGTTTCTGACTTGTAAAACTGGAATGGATTTCAAAATGATTTTGAAAGACAGCTGCACGGTCCAGTAAACTTGCTGAGCCAAAGAAACGAATGTTTGTGATTCCTGAATCAAATATAACTTCTCTCAACCAATGAAGTTGGGGTTATTTTTTATTCAATTGGTTGACTTCCATACAACCTGTGTGTTTCTCATAGAACAATGTCAGTCCTTCACATTTTAAAACCCATTTCATTTCAACACTCTATTTCAAATGTGTAAGTATGGCTTGACAGACTGTGAAACAAATATTACTTTAAATAAATCTGCTCTCCAGCAGCTTTTCAAATACTTGTAGAATTGATTGGGTTTTGATATTGACTGTGGACCATAATTAAGCGTCGCTTCAAGATCTGTTGACGCTGTTCTAAATAAATTTTAACAAATATCACAGAGGTTTTGGGCAGTGAATATTTGTTCTTGATCCCAGTGCTGATGGGGCAGCTTTATTTTTATTATTTCATTCCAGCTTTGAGTCTTTAAATTATTTTAGCTATCAAAAATTTTCCAGACACATAATATTTGTTTCGGTAGTTGTACTGACTGTGAATGTGGTCACAAACATACAGTAATGTTGGACCTTAGAATTTCTTCTTTTTTTTTTTTTTGAATTTATTTGATAGGTATAATTATAGACAGTGAGAGAGAGACAGAGAGAAAAGTCTTCCTGCCGTTGGTTCACTCCCCAAATGGCTGCGACAGCCGGCACTGCGCATATCCGAAGCCAGGAGCCAGGTACTTGGTCTCCCATGTGGGTGCAGGGACCCAAGCACCTGGGCCATCCTCCACTGCCCTCCCAGCAGAGAGCTGGACTGGAAGAGGAGCAACCAGGACTAGAACCCAGCGTCCATATGGGATGATGGTGCTGCAGGCAGAGGATTAACCAAGTGAGCCACGGGGCCGGCCCCCGGACCTTAGAATTTTAAAAACTGATTTTCCATAAAGACTTGGAAGTAATGACATGCTAATTGGTTCTCTTTACCACAATTAAGAATGTACCTAACGGAGGAGGTTTTATGTCTTTTCCTAATGGATGCACATTTTAGAATAAGGATAAAAATGTGAAATAGATAGGAAGAACAATACCGTTTCATGGATTAAAATCCTAAGGAAAAATTATTAATCATCCATTCAATGACGGTTATTTATTGAACATTTACTAAGTACTCACTACTGCACCAGGCAATGAACGCAGAGAAATAAATAAGATACAATTTTTGCTTTTTAGCATATAGCTGATCTTTAACAAAGTGAACTGTAAAGAGAATACCTTTCAGTTTACACCAGAATCTATTTTCTTACCTATTTCCTAAATACTGATGAAAAAGAATGAGCACATTAAAAATAGCATTTTATGGTCCATTTCTAGTTTTTTCTTATTTCCCTAAATATAAAATTTAAGTGCTAAGTGAAAGACAGACATTATTGAAATTTTTGTTCTGAAGTCAAAACAAAACAAGCTACTTTGGTTCTCTATCTTTTTCCTTTGTTTCTTGGGGTTGGTGGCAGACCTTGGCAGTTTCTTCAGCTAGAAAACTACTAGGTAGGTCCAGCTCTGAGTGCCTGTAGCAGCTCAGAGCTCAGAGCATCCTACGTTAAATGCATGCTTCCTTGGATTTTGTATTCCTCTTCACAAACTCATGGACAGCAACTAAGAGAGGCCAGAAAGCAGGGCAGACGCGAAGAAGGAAGCTGAGGTCAAAAGCACAGCTGAAGTTGGCAGGTCAAGGAGAAAACACGCTTCGGGGGACTGATGAAACAACCTGCCCTTCAACTCTTGGTTCACAAAGCATAATTTGCAGCAAATATATAATAGTTGCAAGTCTAGATCGGGAATTCCTCTGGGTACTTGGCCCTTCCTCTTTGCTTTCTGTACTTTTATTGACTTTTTTTTTTTTTTTTTCAATCTGTTTGAATGTTCTTGGGAGCCCTCAAAATGGCATATCTCACACTTAGGCATATTTCCCCCTTGTTTAATATCTGTACATCCACAGGGAAGAATTCTTATATTACTGCTCTTGAACTGTTTATTGTCAATGATTTTTGTTGAAGAACAGTCACCGCTGTATATTGCTGTTAGCAGTTGCCCAAATCAGTCAACCACAAGAACATCGTGAAGGGAACTCATGCCTTAATCTAATATTTTTAATGAGGCGGTCATGACTTTTTGCAAAGAATTATGAGATACTGGTGCTTTATTTTTTTCCTGGAATGAGTATTACTGACAATCTCCATGACATTTAATCTTGATTGAGAAGACAGAGACAAGATACAGGGGACTTAGGATATTCGTTTCCCTGCTACCTTCTGTCAGCTTTCACGGGCAGTTACCTCTACCTGGTAGAGCTAATTGGCTATGAAGACACTTACAGTGGGTAACACAGTGAGGACAGATGCCTCTCTTAGCGCCAGTAGGTAGCATTTTGAGATGAAAAGACAAGTGATTAGAATCACCAGTCCTTGATCTTTTTTACCGACTCCATCCTAATTTCTCATCTTTTGAAAACATCTCTCTATGCTTCAAGGATCAGCATTTTAGAGATCGTGCCAAGAAGTGCTATAGTGAGAAAAACCTTAGTCTAGTGGTTTGAAATGCATTTGGATTTTGTATTTCAAAATCCAAATGGTCCTCCCCAGCCCAAACTGCAGCTTTTTAATTTTAATTGTTTGTTATTTTATTTTTTACTGTTTTTTATTTTGACTGTTCTTCAATTTTCCTTCCTAGACTAAGCCTATTAAGTATCCCTTTCCTTCTGTTCCTTGTTCCTTCTATGTGCTTCATTTTGAGTGGTATTGAGGCAATGCCTTTAGTCATTGAAGAAGAAAAATCAGTGGAACTTTAAATAAAATGAAATAAACTTTTATCATATAAATAAATTAATTTTCCTTTAAATCAAAGGAAAATAATTGCTTATAGGAAAGCAAGATCGGCCGGCACTGCGGCTCACTAGGCTAATCCTCTGCCTTGCGGCGCCGGTACACCAGGTTCTAGTCCTGGTCGTGGCGCCGGATTCTGTCCAGGTTGCCCCTCTTCCAGGCCAGCTCTCTGCTGTGGCCAGGGAGGGCAGTGGAGGATGGCCCAAGTGCTTGGGCCCTGCACCCCATGGGAGACCAGGAGAAGCACCTGGCTCCTGCCATCGGATCAGAGCGGTGTGCCGGCCGCAGCGCACTGGCCATTGGAGGGTGAACCAACGGCAAAGGAAGACCTTTCTCTCTGTCTCTCTCTCTCACTGTCTACTCTGCCTGTCAAAAAATAAATAAAAAAAAAGAAAGAAAGATCATGAGGCAGGTTGCAGTGTAGGGGCGACCAGTGTCATAGTGCACCAGAATGGCCTATGTCTACTGATGTCCATCCTGGAATCACAGATGAAATAGACCAGATCCATCTGGTTGCCCAGGGTATTCTCAGGCAATGAATTTGTACAACCAGCAGCATGGCTGCTATCACCCTTAGGTAGTGGTACCAGTTTCTACTTCAGACCCTTGAAGAAGGCTTGGCATTGGCTAGCAGCACAGGCAACCTGGCTCTTCCTGTAAAAGCAAAGGTAAAGTGGCTGCTTAGAGCAGGAGTTCCACTACAGAGAAAGTGGGAACTCTTGGGTTGAGGAGTTAAAGAAAAAATTGCCTGTGGCTGGTCAGTTGGTGATCTGCTGGGGAGCCTGTGTCATTTGCATTCCTAATTAAAGCTCAAATTAAACCCAGGGAGATGTTCACATGAAAAGCTTTGCAAGAACAAATTTATGGATTCCATTTTCTCAAAAGAGTTGTATGTGCAAATCTCTAATTCAAATAGCCGATCCACTTGTCATCAGCTCTTCCCCAAAAGGGCTGGGAAGAGATGCATAGAGAGTAATGCATAGACAGAAACTTGTCTAGGTTGGCACTCTCCCTCCTAGCGAGACACATGAGAACAATCAGAATCTAACCAACAGGATGAACGCACAGGTATGTGGGGATGGTGGCAGGGTTGGATGAGGCAGGAGTCACTGATGATCAAAGTGTTCTGAAAAGCAGGGAGCAGCAACACTGGAAGAGTTGCTGCCTTGTGGCTGAGATGACATGTGGCACTGGAGGAAGTTGCAGTAAGAGGAAGAGGAAATGGGACTTGGAGTCCACCAGTAAGAAAAAAAATCGGAGATAAAATTAGGGTCATGAGCATCAAGAAGACAGCTGAGGCGTGGGGGTAAATTTGATCAGTGTAAGAAAACAGACTGAGAAAAAGGTTGAGCTGCTCCCATGCCCACATCCACACACGAATTCGGAGAAGTCTACTGCCTGCTGTGAACTGATCGCTTACTGGCCCATTCACTTTCCCATTCATGATATGGGGCAAGGACAACCTCCTCAGAGCATGTGGATTCACCAGTATAAACCTTCCACACAATGACTCATTAAACTGCTTGGTATCTTCCCCTCCATCACGAGGCAAACACGTTCCCAGGCAAACTGAAATCCTCACACAAACATGCACAAAACTACAACCAGTAAAGACATTACCCTGTTTCTTCCTCCCCAAGCCCTACAAAGAGAACTCAGATTATTTATTGACAGAGTCCATGGGGCCCTCTGCAAAGGATACACATGGCCTGTGAAAGTGCATCAAATGCCTTTACTTCAAAATCCCCTGCCTATTACCTGTACACCCCCTCTGTTGTGGCAGTAGATTGGGAGGTAGGTTTCCAGGAAAAACTCACCCTGGGGTCTCTTTCCAGCTGTTGCTTGTGGTGTAGGCTGCGTCTTCTCTTGGCCTTTGCAAGGCCATTGTGATAGAAGTGGTACAGGCCATCAGTGAAGGGGAGCTGTGGAGAGGTGAACAGACACAAGGCATGGTTAGTTTCTGGGGTTGGACTAGTTACAAGGACAACTAAGCTGGGGCTGCTTGCAAACACTGTACAGGAGTAGGGTGTTTAGGAAAAAGCCATCGGCAAACCTTGTCATACTTGGCCTCTGTTTCTCTGTCAGAGTACTCCTTCTCTTCATGCTTGCTTATCTGGTTCTCATTCCCTTCGTTCTCACCAAATCTAGTATTTCTACTCTCTGTATCATTTGATTACTGCAGAATTATGCTGCTACCTAGTCCTGTCTTAGAAGCTAGATCGTTTATCCTTTATCTTTAGATTATTCTGAGATCCCTTGGTGCATATTATCAGGCTGGGCACAGTGTAACTACTTAAAATCTAGTTAAGTACTGTTGTATGATAGGCCAGAGTTCCCTCTGTCTTCCCATCCCGAGGTCCCTTGGAGCCAGAGAAACCATAATAATGACAGTTTATCAATAGCACAGGGATTGCAAGAATCTTGGAGAACAAAGGCGGATTTGCATTTGTCTTATGATTCTAGGTAACTTGGTGGGAAGAACCCTGATGTGGCAGTTGGGAGATGGGTATGATGCTGAGAACAATCACTGGTGATTGTTTAGCTCTGCAGTTCCCTGAGGCAGCAATACCTGCCAAGAAGCTGGCCAAACAACCCTCAGGAAATACCTAGAGGACGAGATGTCCACAGAGGGCTTTAAAAAGCACAAATATGCTTCTAGAGGCTTAGAAGGCTACACATATATGCAGAGCTGTACACATGGTCAGGAAATATCTAAGAAGACTGTAGATGCTCACCTTTGGCCGATCATTAGGTTTTGTGAAAACCAAGGCAAACTGCCTATCTTAGCAATGAAGACATGCCCCAAAAGACAGGCAAAACCCTTCAGCAGAGGGTAAAAATTCCATCTCTTTTCTTCAAAGAAATTTCTGTCCAAACACCAGGCAAGTACTAAGCTAATCATGCAGAGGTTTAGGGGCATACTATCATAGATTACATGATTAGCTTGGGAAAAATACTAAACAAGAAAACCAAGAAACAACAACAAAAGCCTGTGGAGAGGGTGAATATGATTTTCAGAGTTTCACATTGTTAAGCAAAATGCATAGTTTTTGGAAAAAAATAAGGCACACAAAAAAATAAGCCAAAAATATGTGAAAGGAATCAATAAAAAGCCTTCTGAGGAAGCCCAGATGCTGGACTTACTACACAATGACTTTCCACCAGTATTAAAAATATTTTCAAATAGCTAGAGGTTACTATGTTTAAAGAATTAAAGGAATGAATAATTAAACACAGAACAGCAATAAAGACATAAACCTTATTAAAAAGAACTAAAGAGATATTTTGGAGCTGAAAAGTATAACTGAAATTTTAAAAGTTTTTTAATATTCTTATGATTTTTATAAACATTAAAATTATATATACATGGAAACTGTAACTATATATTCTTTTTTTAAAGATTTATTTGATTTATTTGAAAGACAGAATTAGAGAGAGAGGTAGAGACAGAGAGAGAGGTCTTCCATCTGCTGGTTCACTGCCCAGATGGCTGCAACAGGCAGAGCTGTGCCAACCTGAAGTCAGGAGCCAGGAGCTTCTTCCAGGTCTCGTGCACTGGTGTAGGGGCCCAATGGGCCATCCTCTACTGCTTTCCCAGGCCACAGCAGAGAGCTGGATGGGAAGAGAAGCAGCCAGGACTTGAACTGGCACCCATATGGGATGCCAGCATACTTCAGGCCAGGGCGTTAACCTGCTGTGCTGCTGCACCACTGCATTGGCCCCTAAGTATATCTTAAATTAGCCTAAGTGCGCATTCTTGAGATAAATTAACAGTTCAGTGCTCCACATCGTCAAATATGTGAAAGACACCACTGGAAGCAACAGAGTGGTATAATTCTTGAGAAATCTGCTGAAACTCCTTAAGATATTCACATAATTTTTAAACCTGAGTTAGACAAACTGAATCAATCTGAAAGACTGAATTAAGTTTCTCATGTTTACCTTGAAGTATAAAGATTTATATTAAAGCACTGAATTTTAAAATAACTATCAGTGTGGAATGTGGGGTAACTCCCTTCCGTGATATCCTATAGGTGAGAGTTCTTCATTCCAGAGGAAGAAAACTTGTGTTTTAGAACTTTTCATTCAGTATATTTTATTAAGAAGCCAAATTACTTCATGTATCTTGGAAATGGAATGCTATACTCAACTGAATAGGCTCAAAACCAAAAATCATTAGTTGGGTGGTGCAGTGGGTTAATCCTCTGCCTGTGGCACCGGCATCCCATATGGGTGCCTGTTCTAGTCCCGGCCGCTCCTCTTCTGATCCAGCTCTCTGCTATGGCCTGGGAAAGCAGTAGAAGATGGCCCAAGTCCTTAGGCCTTGGGCCCCTGCACCCACAGGGGAGACCTGGAAGAAGCTCCTGGCTTCGGATCTATGTAGCTCCGGCCTTTGCAGCCATTTGGGGAGTGAACCATTGGACTGAAGACCTCTCTCTCTCTTCCTTTCCCTCTCACTGTCTATAACCCTACCTCTCAAATAAATAAAATCTTAAAAGAAAATCATTCGTTAAAATGTACTTAGCTTAGAAATTATAAAAGGAGAAGACACTGATAAAATACATTCTATACAGAACACACTTACAAACACACTTACTGTTTTGATGATAAAAATGTACTTACAGAAATTTATTATCAGCATAACAATAAATTATTATCTGGTATAGGAGGGATCAGATTATTCAGCCTTCTCATTGACTAAGTTGAATGTAAGGAGAAATGTACTATAAGGATTCTTTTTGCTAATAAACTGGGTCAGACAATCTGACCCAAAAATGTTTAGGAGACAACCTGAGATTTTAAGAGATAACCTGAGATTTTAAAATACAGAAATAATCAAAAGTGGAGTTTTTGAAACCAACTGGCATTAAAATATTAGAGTATAAATATTAATCATTCTAAATGGACATTTGCCACTGTTAGGATATTAAACAAAATATTAGAGAAGTAAAAATATTCAGGAAGTAAGACTTTCTGACTACACTGGGGGGAAGGCTTTGAATAAATGTGAATATTCACTGAGAATTAAAAAACAAGTGAGGGTGTGGGGAACAGTAATTCTTCAAAATGCAGCTCAGGACCAAGTATTTTCTCTGCAGGCCGCCCAGCGCATTTTAGAAAAACAAAATGTGGTCCCTTAAGGGAGCTGGGACCCCTCGTTTCTCAGGGGGCCTCTCACCTGCGCGGGCTTCCTTTCTGCGAAGCGGAGTGAAAGCCGACTACAGCGCGCCACCAGCCCTCCGCTGAGAGAAGCAAAGGAGACACCACAGTGTAAGCTGCTCTCCAAAGCTGGTCAGCTCTGCGAGGGCCGGCACATCCGGCCAGTCGGAAGTGTATTCCGGAACTCCTGGTTTCAGGCCCACACATACGTCACCATGTCCTCGGAGAACGCTCATACCGGCGGGGAAGGCCGAAAAGGCCACGGGTCCGCCGAACGTCTCCTCGCACAGCTCCTGGCCACGGCGGAGCACGACGCCGGCCCCAGCAGCGCGCGTTCCAGAAGGCGCAGCCGCACGCAGTTGATGTTGGCGTGGAGGGACACGGCCACCGCGCAGCCGCAGAGGCAGCGTGGGCCCGCGGTGGAGTTGGGTCCCGGGCGCCATTAAGGAATCAATATATGTGTAGTAGCAGTCTCAGGAGAGAAGAAAGGAGAGTAATTCTGAAGAAATAATGGTGGCAGTCTCCTCTCATTTTGTGAAAAGCATTGTTAATATTTGTGTCCAAGAAGCTGAGAAAGCTCAAGGGGAATTAAACTCAGAGATCTACATCTAGACACAGCAAACTGTCAGAAGTCAAAGTCAAAGAGAATCTTGAAAGCAGCAAGAGAAAATGTAGGTGAGCTAGTCAGTGAGATTACACCTGACTTTGTAATTACTTCTCACCAGAAGCCTCTAATGTCCAGGGATCGCATAATACAAGTGCAAAAGGCAAGGCAGTCAACCAAGAATTCTCTCTTTGGCCCAATAAGAGGAAAAACAAAGACTGAGAGAACTGAGACAATTCATTACAAGCAGACCTATCAAACAGGAAGTACTAACTTTGCGCTGAAATAAAAGAAATAAAATGTGAATCCAAGTGAAGAAAGTGTACTAGTAAAGTCAAAGTTAAAGGTGAGTGTACCAGCAGACTCATAGAATGGCAGATGTCCTAAACAGCACTCTGGCCTCAGAATCAGCCCTTAAGGCATTTGGATCTGGCTGAAGAGCCCATGAGAGTATTTTAGGCATGGAAAGCCAAGACACTCTGGCAAAAACAAACAAACAAACAAACAAACAAACCTAAATGAAAGATCTCTGCAAGTGAGATCCCAGTGGAAAGAACGGGCCATCAAAGAAGGAGGTACCTTTCTCTGAAGGGAGGAGAGAAGTTTCACTTCGACTACGACCTTGTCTAAAAAAGATCAGAGTCAGCGAACTCAAAAGGCTTCCATAGCCTTGGCAACTCATGACAAGAGCCTAGGGTGATTACTGATGCCATAAACAAGAGTGTCAATTTGTTAAGTCAACAACAGGAGTCACTGTGCAGTTACTCCCCATGTAGGATCTCTGTCCTTAATGTGTTGTCCAATGTGAAGTAATGCTATAATTAGTACTGATACAGTATTTTTCACTTTGTGTTTCTGTGTGAGTGCAAACTGTTGAAATCTTTACTTAATATATACTAAATGGATCTTCTGTATATAAAGATAATTGAAAATGAATCTTGATGTGAATGGAATGGGAGAGGGAGTGGGAGATGGGAGGGTTGCGTGTGGGAGGGAAGTTATGGGGGGGGGATAGCCATTGTAATCCATAAGCTGTACTTTGTAAATTTATATTTACTAAATAAAAGTTTAAAAAGGGTAAGTGTACAAGAAGTAAAAATGTACTTTTATCACAATAGCTTTGTTTTACTTAAAAGACAATTGCGTAAAACAATAATT